CTATAAAATGTCCACCTGGACAAAACAAACAAACAAACAAATCAACAAACATGCAGTGCTGACCGATCGAAACAGCTATTACAAGACTGACCACGCCCGTCTGGGCTACTGGTCCCATACCACACAGATGGTGTACAGTAACCATGGTAACGTACAACACAACAGGACCAGCAACCTGAGGTAGGTCTCTTTACAATTAGAAAACGAAAATCCCTACACCAGTAGTGTCAAAACCCGATCAGGTGCCTGCTAAAAGCTGCAAGATGTTGAGGATGTAATAATTCCATTAACGAGGAGGCAAGAGCAAAATTTTGTGCACATACAGAGTCAGGTGAATTTAACAACCGTTTTAAAAAATCTCAAAGCATCTGGAGAAATTTCCAAAACAAAACGCTAATTTATCTCAAAAGGCCTGCAACTCGGCAGAGAAACGCTGTCGGAAGTAGAAGGGTCCAGACTAAAAAAAAAGATTTGCTTGCTCTAGCTTGGGAATAATGCTATATATACCAGAGATGGGGAAAATCCCCAAAAGATTTATGGCGTTCAACTCCCAGAATTCCCTAGCCGAGCCACGCTGGCTAGTGAATTCTGGGAGTTGAAGTCCACAAGTTTTAAAGTTTGGAGCCCACCTGGTATACGCTGTAGACAGGTGCTTTTGCACAGCAAAATGGGAACGGCTTTGACTGTGCGTTGGATGAAACATCAGCCAAACAACCGACAGTGTCATTGTGCGCACCCAAGTGAATGCACTGGGTTCAATGGTACCTGAGTTTTGTGGTGGCCCTTCACTTCCGGCTACAAAATTCGCTAACAAAATCACCATGGGGAGGGAGGGGGAAGAACGTTAAACCCCTCCAGGGCCCAGGACCACGAGAAACCGTGGCTTCTATCTGACAATTGTCAAGGAACTTGATTGCCCTTGTCAGAGCCCACACGCTTTACGTAGGGCGGTGAAAAAGGAGGGAGGGAGGGAAGAGTTACACAAAACTTTCACTTCCACCCCAGGGAAGTTGGGAAAAAAAAAAAAAGCCAGCACCAGAGAATGTCCAGTGCAGCTTGGCCCAAGCCAGATTCCCCAACCCCACTAAAACGTTACCCCCCTCAAAAAAAATATTTAAAAATAAAAGGATAGAAAAGAATTTGCACTGGTATTAACCACCGCGCTCATTTTAATATAAAATAAACAGCTTACATTTCCACTGTAAATATAGGCTATGTACAGAATTCTGTGTCGATATAGCTACCGGTACATGTATAAAGCTTCGATATAGGCCTCTGGATTACATTTATAATAATAATAATAAGGTGGCTCTCTGAGCCATTTTTGTAGAGTGCATTTAATAGCCCAAAAAAAAAAAAATTAGTTAAGGAGAATACGAAATAAATACCATAATAAAAACCGTGAAGAATCCTCCTTACAGTACTATATATATATTTTTTTTTTTAAAAAAAAAAGAGAGACAGAACTCGATCCTGACCCACGATCCAAAAAAAAAAATTAAAAAATTAAAAGGGTGAAAAGACAACCTGCTCGGAAAGACATGGGGAAAAAAATGGAGGGGAGGAACGTCCCTGCCACGGGCAGAGGAGGATTAACGCTCCGTCTTATTAAAGTGACTTTGCCCTGAATTTTTTTTAGCCCTTGACGGCAACCTTGTTTTCCACAGCGGCAAACATGGCAGAGAAGCGGGAATTTTCATTGGACAGAAGCGCCGACGGCGTGTCAAATTCCGTCACCTGAAACAAAACGGAAGAGAAAGCGCATGAAGTGCGATGCACCCACCGGGGGCAAATACAGGCAGCCCTCGACTTAACGGCCGCAGCTGAGCCCCCCCAATTTTTGTCTAATCAGCGAGACGTCGGTGAAGTGAGTTTTGCCCCACCTTTCTTGCCACAGTTGTGAATCTGACTTCCCCCCACTGCACTTGGCTTGTCAGAAGGGCGCCAAAGGGGATCACGTGACCCCAGGGGACGCTGCGACCGTCATAAAGACGAGTCAGTTGCCAAGCGTCTGAACTTTGATCACGTGATCGTGGGGAGGCTGCAACGGTCGTTAAGAGTGAAAACTGGCATTTTCCAGTGCCCTTGTAGGAGTTACTGAATGAACTGTTGTAAGTCGAGGACGACCTGTAGCATCACCGTTGGAAAAGGGGACCCAAAGATATGCTATTCCTTTATTTTAGATAAAAGATTAGAGTTCCTTTAGAGTGACGCGATGGCCGTCTTCTGATATCTCAGGGGCTGCCCCAAAGAAGAGGGAGTCAAGCTATTCTCCAAAGCGCCTGAAGGCAGGACGAGAAGCAACGGATGGAAACTAACCAAGGAGAGAAGCAACCTAGAACTAAGGAGAAACTCCCTGACAGTGAGAACAATTAACCAGTGGAACAACCTGCCTCCAGAAGCGGTGAATGCTCCAACACTGGAAGTTTTTAAGAAGAGACTGGACAGCCATTTGTCTGAAATGGTATAAGGCAGGGGTCCCCAAGTCAGGCCACGCCCCAATACCGAGCCTGTTCGGAACCAGGCCATGCGAGCAGACAGGCGTGCGCAACTTGATTTGCACGAGCAGTGGGCCGGCGCAGGTACATGCACGCAGCTCAACTTGTGCAAGAATGCACTCACGTGCTGGCCTGCCACTCACACAAGTGGAGCTTTGCGTGCGTGCATGTGCTAACCCACCGCTTGCAAGGCCTGGTTCTCCTCTCTCTCTCTCCCCCCCCCCCAGCTGGGTTGCCAAGCTGCAAAGGTTGGGGACCACTGGTATGGGGTTTCCTGCCCGAGCAGGAGGTTGGACTAGAACAGAGGTCCCCAACCCCTGGTCCATGGATCAGTACCGATCCGCGGCATACCAGCAGCCGGTCTGCACAAACTAGCAAAGCCCCAAAACCATGCACTCTCCGGTCCCCGGAAAAAGCTCTCTCCACGGAACCGGTCCCCAGTGCCCAAAAGGTTGGGGGACCTCTGTACTAGAAGACCTCCAAGATCCCTTCCAACTCCTTTCTTCCCTTATTCTGTTATCTTGGAAGAAAGCACTGGCTAATCCTTTCCAGGCTCCAAAAGCCAAGAAAGATTAGTGATTCTTCCAAGCCGATGTCCTTATTATTCCTCACTTATAGACAGAATCTCGGCAAACCAAAGCAAACTGCCAGCCACATAAAACATGCACCGTGGAACTGTTAAGGAGGAGCCGTCTTCATCCTCTTTCTCTCACACAAGCTATCAGGTCTACCTTGTCTCTAGCTCCTCAGGAATTTCCTCCTGGAAATCCAGACTACATTCGAGCACATTATTTCCATAATGTTGCCATGAGAACTAGGAGGACGTACCCATAAAGACACTACGATTCGTCTAAATAACAGTATAACAGAATTGGAGGAGACCTTGGAGGTCTTCAATCAAATGGTAGTCCAGTCTCTTATTCAAAAGTTCCAGTGTTGGAGGCACCCACAACTTCTAGAGGCAAGTTGTTCCACTGATTAATTGTTCTCACTGATGGGAAATTCCTCCTTAGTTCTAGGTTGTTTCTCTCCTTGATTAGCTTCCATCCGTTACTTCTTGTCATGCCTTCAGGTGCTTTGGAGAATAGCTTGACTCCCTCTTCTTTGGGGCAGCCCCTGAGATACTGGAACACTGCTATCATGTCACCCTTAGTCCTTATTTTAATTAAACTAGACCCGTGGTGGCAAACCTATGGCACGCATGCCGCAGGTGGCACGCAGAGCCCTCTCTGTGGACATGCGAGCCGTCGCCCCAGTCCTAGGCCTTCAGCTGGGTTTATAAAACCTTTTTGCTTTAGGCCGCCACCACCGTGTGCAAAAAAAAAAAAAAGGTTCCATCGATCAATTTCAACTTCTCACAGGGAAAAAAAAGGTCTCGCAAAGTTGGAATTGATTGATTGAACTTTTTAGTCCCACCCAGTCTGCCGTTACCACCGCAGCACGCCTACCCAATGGGCCATGCCCACCCGGCACCTGACGATACATAAGTGGGTTTTGGGTTGTAGTTTGGGCACTCGGTCTGTAAAAGGTTCGCCACCCCGGGTCACCCCAACGATGCCCTTGACGTGATGGCCCGTTGCCTGGAGGCCGTACGGGTCTGGATGGGAAGGAACAGACTCAGACTCAACCCTTCCAAGACCGAGTGGCTGTGGCTGCCGGCGCCCCGGCATAGTCAGTTGGTTCCATCGCTGTCTATAGGGGGCGAATCCTTGGCCCCCTCAGAGAGGGCGCG